ACCAGGGGATTTGGGATCTTTGGGATTAGGGGGTTTGGGGCCTCTGGGATTTAGGATCATGCCCCCACAGGCCAGGATGGAGCGGGACATGAGCAACGAGCGCATCCACGCCGAGTGTGGATTGGCAGCAGCGGGGTTTGGAATCAGGGATTTGGGATCTCAGGGATTTGGGATCCCAGGGATTTGGGATCTTTGGGATGAGGGGATTTGGGGCCTCTGGGATTTAGGATCATGCCCCCACAGGCCAGGATGGAGCGGGACATGAACAACAAGCGCATCCACACCAAATGTGGATCAGCAGCAGCGGGGTTTGGGATCTGGGATTTGGGATCTCAGGGATTTGGGGATCTTTGGGATTTGGGATCTTTGGCAGGGGGATTTGGGATCTTTGGGAATATTTGGGATCCCAGGGATTTGGGATCTTTGGGATCAGGGGATTTGGGGCCTCTGGGATTTAGGATCATGCCCCCACAGGCCAGGATGGAGCGGGACATGAGCAACAAGCGCATCTACGCCGAGGAGGAGCTGCCCGAGTCGGGCGCGGGGAGCGAGTTCCACCGGCGGCTGCGCGAGGAAGCGCGGAGGAAAAAATACGGGATCGTGCTGCGGGAATTCCGGGCCGAGGATCAGCCCTGGCTGCTCAGGGTCAACGGGAAAGGGGGCAGGAGGTGGGAATTGGGGTTTTTGGGTTTGGATTTGGGGTTTTTGGGGTTTGGATTTGGGTTTTTGGGGTTGGGATTTGGGTTTTTGGGGTGGGAAATGAGCAGGATTTGGGGTTTGAGGAATGGGATTTGGGTTTGGGGTGGGAAAGGAGCAGGGATTTGGCTTTGGGATTTGGAGGTTTGGAGATTTGAGATTTGGGGTTTTTGGGGTTTGGGATTTGGGGTTTTGGGGTTTGGGGTTTTTGGGGTTTGGAGGCTTTGGGGTTTGGAGGTTTTGGGGGTTTTTGGGAAATGGGGAAATACGGGATCGTGCTGCGGGAATTCCGGGCCGAGGATCAGCCCTGGCTGCTCAGGGTCAACGGGAAAGGGGGCAGGGTCAGATTTTGGGGTGACCCCGGCCTCCCCCCGGCAGGTTTCGGGGTGTGAAGAAGGGGCTGATTCTGTCAGGTTTTTGGGGTGATTCCTGTCAGTTTTTGGGGTGTTTCTCTCAGGTTTTTGGGGTATTTCTCTCGGGTTTTTTGAGGTGATTCCCTCAGGTTTTTTGGGCTGACTGCTGTCAGTTTTTGGGGCGATTTCTGTCAGTTTTTGGGCTGACTGCTGTCAGGTTTTGGGGTGATTACTGTCAGTTTTTGGGCTGACTGCTGTCAGGTTTTGGGGTGATTACTGTCAGTTTTTGGGCTGACTGCTGTCAGGTTTTGGGGTGATTACTGTCAGTTTTTGGGCTGACTGCTGTCAGGTTTTGGGGTGATTACTGTCAGTTTTTGGGCTGACTGCTGTCAGGTTTTGGGGTGATTACTGTCAGTTTTTGGGCTGACTGCTGTCAGGTTTTGGGGTGATTACTGTCAGTTTTTGGGCTGACTGCTGTCAGGTTTTGGGGTGATTACTGTCAGTTTTTGGGCTGACTGCTGTCAGTTTTTGGGGTGTATCTCTCAGGTTTTTGGGGTGATTCCTGTCAGATTTCGGGGTGACCCCGGCCTCCCCCCGGCAGGTTTCGCGGTGTGAAGAAGGGGCTGATTCCTGTCAGTTTTTGGGGTGTTTCTCTCGGGTTCTTTGGGATATTTCTCTCAGGTTTTTGGGGTGATTTCTCTCAGGTTTTTTTGGCTATTTCTCTCGGGATTTTTTTGTGTGTTCCTGGGGTATCTTTGGTGTGATTCCTGTCAGATTTTGGGGTGTTTCTCTCAGGTTTTTTGGGCTATTTCTCTCGGGATTTTTTTGGGTGTTCCTGGGGTCTTTTTGGGGTGATTCCTGTCAGATTTCGGGGTGACCCCGGCCTCCCCCCGGCAGGTTTCGCGGTGTGAAGAAGGGGCTGATTCCTGTCAGTTTTTGGGGTGTTTCTCTCAGGTTTTTTGGGCTATTTCTCTCGGGATTTTTTTGTGGGTTCCTGGGGTATCTTTGGTGTGATTCCTGTCAGATTTTGGGGTGTTTCTCTCAGGTTTTTTGGGCTATTTCTCTCGGGATTTTTTTGGGTGTTCCTGGGGTCTTTTTGGGGTGATTCCTGTCAGATTTCGGGGTGACCCCGGCCTCCCCCCGGCAGGTTTCGGGGTGTGAAGAAGGGGGGTGTCACCGAGAACGCCTCCTATTACATCTTCACGCAATGCCCCGACGGCGCCTTCGAGGCTTTCCCGGTCAGGAACTGGTTCAACTTCACCCCCCTGGCCCGGCACCGCACGCTGACGGCCGAGGAGGCCGAGGAGGAGTGGGAGAGGTGACCCCAAAAATACCCGGGGGACCCCAAAAACCCCAACCCTGACCCTTCACCCCCCTGGCCCGGCACCGCACGCTGACGGCCGAGGAGGCCGAGGAGGAGTGGGAGAGGTGACCCCAAAAGTACCCGGGGGACCCCCAAAAACTGGGCAGGGACCCCAAAAATCTGACCCCAAAACCCTGGGGGTGACCCCAAAAACCCCAACCCCAAAAACCCCAACCCTGACCCTTCACCCCCCTGGCCCGGCACTGCACGCTGACGGCCGAGGAGGCCGAGGAGGAGGGGGAGAGGTTACCCCAAAAGTACCCGGGGGACCCCCAAAAACTGGGCAGGGACCCCAAAAATCTGACCCCAAAACCCTGGGTGTGACCCCAAAAATCCCAACCCTGACCCCAAAATCCCTACTCCAAAATCCCAACTCCAAAACCCCAACCCTAATCCCGGGCAAGATCCCAAAATCCATGGGGGAAATCCTAAAATTTGGGCGGGATCCCAAAGCTTGGGGGACCCCAAAACCCTCAGCAGGGACCCCAAAAATCTGGGTGTGACCCCAAAATCCCAACCCCAAAATCCCAACTCCAAAATCCCAGCCCTAATCCCGGGCAGGACCCCAAAATCCATGGGGGAAACCCCAAAATCTGAGCGGGATCCCAAAGTTTGGGGGACCCCAAAAATCCCCCGGGGGACCCCAAAAATCTGACCCCAAAACCCTGGGTGTGACCCCAAAATCCCAACCCCAAAATCCCGACCCTAATCCCGGGCAGGACCCCAAAATCCGTGGGGGAAACCCCAAAATCTGAGCGGGATCCCAAAGCTTGGGGGACCCCAAAAATCCCCCGGGGGACCCCAAAAATCTGGGTGTGACCCCTAAATCTCTTCCCAGCCCCTCTGAGTCTCCCCAAAGGCCCCCCAAACCCCCTCAAAACCCCCCAAATCTCCCCAAAATCCCCCCAAAATCCCTCTGAGCCCCCCAATCCCAAAGTTTGGGGGACCCCAAAAATCCCCCGGGGGACCCCAAAAATCTGACCCCAAAACCCTGGGTGTGACCCCAAAATCCCAACCCCAAAATCCCGACCCTAATCCCGGGCAGGACCCCAAAATCCGTGGGGGAAACCCCAAAATCTGAGCGGGATCCCAAAGCTTGGGGGACCCCAAAAATCCCCCGGGGGACCCCAAAAATCTGGGTGTGACCCCAAAAATCTGGGTGTGACCCCTAAATCTCTTCCCAGCCCCTCTGAGTCTCCCCAAAGGCCCCCCAAACCCCCTCAAAACCCCCCAAATCTCCCCAAAATCCCCCCAAAATCCCTCTGAGCCCCCCA